TGATGCCACGGCATTCTACCCAGGGGTCAGCTTGAGGCTCTGTCTCAAAAAAAAAAAAAAAAATTTCTAAATTGGGAGCAAAAAACGTCAGAATTCTAGAAAATAACTGTTTCTATGGGACAAATGGCCAGCAATATAGTAAGTAGCCTTTCCGTGCCTTTGCCAAACTCATTCTTCTGAAAAATAATCTTTCACTGCAGCCATGAGAATGTAATAGTGCAACCCAGTCTCTGTGCATTAGAAACAAGTAGACAGTAGTCTTTGGCAGCTCCAGGATTAGATTTATAGTATTTTGCAGACATTTACTTGTTGAGTAACCAGCGTCATTTCAGGACCATGTTGTAGGTACTATGCCTAGATAGAGACCATACCATGTGAGCTCTCAGAAGGAACTGCCTGTGTCACAGGTCAGTGATTATAGGGAGCCTGTCGTATGGAGGCAGGTGAGGGCTCTGAGCATGGGTCTAGCCACATTCCTGCTACAAGAGGAAGTCAAGATGTGAGGCCTGTGCCTAAATGCTCCCCACAGACTAGTGATCCCACAAGTGCCATGAGCTTATGAAATGCTACATATACTTCCTAAGCCCTGGGAGGTACATTAGCATTTACAATGAGAACTCGTACAGCCAAAATACTCCCACAACCACTGTGATCTAGTCTTCCCAGGTTATTTGACCTCTGAACCCTGTTTTCCTATGGCAGCTTTTACTGAAACTGTTGCTAAGAGAAAAGCACATTTGAGATGCTCTGAAATCTCAGCTAGGCAGATTTAGTTGTTGCAGGCCACAGAATTATCTTGGTAGAAGTGTAGCCTAAGTTAGAAGGTGGCCTCCCAGAGGTCTCTTCTGACTCTTTATGATCCCATGATTGAACCACCTCACTCTTCATGGTAGCTAAATTGTAATGGGAGCATTACTGGGACAGCAGCTGGGGATATTCAGCCAATCTTCTTCAGCCCTTCAAACTTGCTTCATTGGCAAGAAGGTTCAGGTATTCATTCCCAGAACAGAAATGCCCACAAAATTGTTTTTTAAGTTAATGGGATCTGTGTTTTCCCACTGAAAATAAAGTAATTTTCTAATGGTTGTGGCTATCTCTGAAGGTCAAGGCCATTCTTCAATTGCATTAACTATTGAAATGTTTGGCTTTTATGGGTATTAAAACTTTAAATGTGCAGACTCCTTGACCTAGCAGTTCTGCTTCTACGACTTTATTTTAAGGAGTTAGAATACCCACAGTATTGTTTAAATAGTTTCAAATTGGATGTGACTAAATGCCTATTAATAGAGTTATGGTGCATCTATTAATTGTTATCCAAGCCAGAAATTTCTCTAAAAACTTGTGGTGACATATCTGCACCTTGTAAAGACACTAGTTTGAGAATTAGAGGTGGAATGAAGTTAGATTTTAATAAAATTGTAGAAAAAGGCAAAAGTGTGGGATTTTTAGGTAAGAATTATCTTTGGATATTTTGAACATTTATATTCTTTATGAGTCTGCTAAATGCCTCCTGAATGGCAGCCCCATGTCTGGTTTTCTGATTTAATCTAGGTATACCTGGTAGATAATGTCTCAGAGATCTTGCTTAGTCTGAGAAACCAAAATCAGTCTATCCTCACATACTAGTATGATACTTATAAAAATAAGTCAATACATATTTACTCATAAAATTGTTCACACTCATTTCAACTATGTCCATAAAGTTACTTACCATGTTACTTACAAGAGGAAAAAAATGGAATCAATCCAAATGTCTGACTATGAGAGTATGATTAAGTAAATTTGAAGACATCCTCTATGGAATATCACATAGCCAAGCTGACAGCAACATTGGAAATGCTCACAAGATGATATGTGTACTAAATGAGCAAAGTCACATACAAAATAAATCCTCACTTAAGATGATAATTACATATGACACTTAGATAAACCAGAGGACCAATCCACACTTAAGATTGTGATGATGTATAACCTAGGGATTAGAAAAGGACATGAGGTTGCACAATTAAGTTCACGAATTCATCCTAGAAAAAGTGCTGCATGCCTCATTGCTGAATATCACTGCTGTCACTTTCATGGTACTTCTCTTGGGAAGCTATGCACCTATGTCACCAGATGACCAAGGGGAATACTTCCAATGTGACTATAGTAATATTCAGCAATGAGGTATGTAGCATTTTTGCTAGGATGACTTCATGACTTAATTGCCTGCCTTCATGTAAAAGTAATAATAGTTATGTTGATGTGATAGGATGGTAGGTGATATTTTCTTTGGCTCTGTTTTTAGGCTTTATATTATGGCTGTATTGTTTTCATTACTTTAGAAATTAGATTGTGGAGGGAGAAGGTAATAATAAGAATATGCTGTCCTAGAGATTGATTTTGATGGTCAAATTACAGTCTTCACAGAGTGGGGACAAAGAATTGATAAATCCCATTGCAGCAGGAGTACCTGCTATTATTGTGCTTTGATTCCTCTCTTCAACTCCAGGAATTGAAGATATGCAGATGGGAAAACGAGGGTACCTGACACCCACCAGTGCCCGAGAACATCTTTTTTCACTTTGGAAGAATGAAGGTGCTGTATCAGACTAAAGAAATTGTCTTTATCTTCTCTAGGCTTTAATTCCCTGAGCACATTATCCCTGCCCTTTTTTTGAGATAGAGTCTCAACCTGTTGCCCAGGTTAGAGTACTGTGTAGTCACCTTGGCACTCAGCAACCTCAAACTCCTGGGTTCAATGATCTTCCTGCCTCAGCCTCCTGAGTAGCTGGGACTGCAGCTCTATTTTTATTTTTATTTATTTATTTATTTATTTATTTGAGACAGAGTCTCACTGTTGCCCTGGGTAGAGTGCTATGGCATCACAGCTCACAATAACCTCAAACTCTTGGGCTCAAGAGATTCTCTTGCCTCAGCCTCCCAAGCAGCTGGGACTACAGATGCCTGCCACAGTGCCCAGCTATTTTCTTTTGGTTGTAGTTGTCATTGTTGTTTGGCAGGCCTGGGCTGGATTCAAAATCGCCAGCTCTGGTGCATGTGGCTGGTGCCCTAGCCGCTGAGCTATAGGTGCTGAGCCTACAGCTTTATTTTTAGTAGAGATGGTGTCTCACTCTTGCTCAGGCTGGTCTCAAACTCCTAAACTCAAGTAGATTCTCACACCTTGGCCTCCCAGAGTGCTAGGATTACAGGCCTGTGCCACGTCGCCCTGCTATTTTTTTTTTTAAGTTTTAATTATTATAACTCTCTTCTGAAATTGACCCAGAGGTTTGGTTAGGGTTCAGCATCAAAACTTGCCAGTTATTGTAATGGAGCCTGCTTCTAATGGCAGATATAGGTGGCATGTTTTTAAAAGGTTCAGTGTTGGCTTGGCACCTATAGCTCAAGCAACTAAGGCGTCAGCCACATACACCAGAGCTGATAGGTTTGAATCCAGCCGGGTCTGCCAAACAACAATGACAACTGCAACCAAAAAATAGCTGGGCATTGTGGCAGGTGCCTTTAGTCCCAGCTTCTTGGGAGGCTGAGCCAAGAGAATTGCTTGAGCCCAGGAGTTGGAGGTTGCTGTGAGCTGTGATGCCACGGCACTCTATCCAGGGTGACAGCTTGAGGCTCTGTCTCAAAAAAAAAGGTTCAGTGTCATAATTCACCTTGTTTTAAATGCCCATAAATAAACAATTCTTTAAAGAGTTCTCTGGGAATACCTCCTGAATGAGCTCTTTAAGATTTTTATTCATTTTAGTTCCTTACTAAAAGGGAAATCCCTCGTCCCTTTTGAGTGTATAGCAAAACCTGTGCAGTATATTTAACCTCCTGCGTCATGCACCCTCTGAGAGTATTTCTGGAACACTGACTATAGCCTCCGTGTGAGAAGCACTTAGAAGTGAACATGTTGTTAAAGGGATATCAGCACAACAGAGCACTCAGGTCCATGCAACTGTTTCTGTGGCAGACCCTGGCACATTTTATTAATTTTCTCTGAGCATTTTTTTAAGTCATCAGAAACTTGAAATATAATTTTGAACTACAGAAGATCCCTTCATGGCAGCACCCACATGGGGAGGGTTTTGTTTTGTTTTGTTTTAAGGAGGCTAACTTTTTAAAATTTTTTCTTATTTCAATTTTTTTTTTTGTAAGTACCAAAGTAATAGAAACTTGCTGTGTATATGTGTCTTGGAGAGTAAGTAAAAACAAGTGAGTTTCTTTTATTGAATTCTGCCCATCTCAGTCCCTGGGTTGAGCACTGTTGTCCCTTTGTACCATCATCTCCTCTGCATATGAACTGTCATACATACAGGGGCTGGTTTTTATTTGTTTATTTAAAAAAGTGATCTTACTCTGTTATCTACAGTCTAGTTTTTTATCTCATTCAGTACTATTTTTGTGGTTGTCCTCCCATGCTTTTACTGAAGAATTTAAATGGTCTCTCTGGCTTATTTATTTCAATCACAGGATTCTTTCTGAATTACCTTTTTTCGGGACTAGATGATGTTGGCACAGAGTCTGCATTCAATCCCAGTATGTTCTTTCTAGATTTCTTGGTGGTGCCACCCTCAAGGTAATGCCCTCTAATTTATTTTACCTATAAAAGGTTTTTTTTTTAATTATCTCATTTAAATATCAAAGAAAAAGGTTTAACTGAACCCTGACCCCCTGACCTCTATGAGAGGAGGAAGGGTGAGGGGCTGAGAAATGGAGCAGCAGTTCACTCCAGGTTCCAGATGGTGGGAGTCCTTTTCTCTCCATGTGTTATGGGAGAATAGTGGAGCAGTAGGAATAGTGGTGGTTCTAAGTGTGGTAGGGTGTGTTGCCTCCAGTAGGTGTGGGTGAGAGTTTGGAGACCACAACCCTTCCCTCACACTAAACATTGATTGACTCTCATGTTCCCTTGCAGGTATCGCCCTGTCAATCGCCTGGGGGACCAGATGTTTACCAATGGCCAGACGGTGAATTTGCAGGCTGTCATGAAGGACATAGTTCTGATCCGAAAGCTTCTGGCATTGATGGCCCAAGAACAGAAGCTGCCATGGGAGGTGGCCATACCCACCACAGATGAGGTCAGAGCTGCTCTGGTATTGATATCATAGCACACACAGTTCTAACTGCGATGTGGACACAGACACTATGGGTGCTGGGAAATGCTGACTAGGATGTTTGTCCTGTGTAGCTGGTGGCACCCTTAGTGGGAGCTGTGGGCTTGGGAGGAACGTACTTAATCTCAGGGTGACAAGCATGGACCTGAGCCTGGAAAGGTCTGGGTTCTTCTAGTCTAGTTTTATGCCTAAAGACAGTGTCTGGTGACCCCAGTTGAGTCACTTTATTTTCTTGGACTATTCTCAACTGTAAAATATGTGTGGCTTGTGTTGAGATTTCACATGTAGGGCCTTCTGGGCCTCGAGCTGTTGGCAACTCTAGAAAGAACTATTTCCCTTGGCCTCTAGAACATCCCTCCTGAGTCACAGTACTAGAGCTTGTGTCACCTGGCTCTGTCTTGGGGTCAGGAAGGCAATGTTGTAGAATAGGAATTTCCCTCTGCAGGATAATCTCAGCTAATGTTTAGCCCCTTCAGAGTGCTAAGTCTTATGCTAGTATAAAGATAAATCGGGTGCTCAGAAAGCTTCCTGAGGTCACTGAGATCCTTCCCAGCTCTGAAACACTGGATACAATGAACAGGACTGTCTTTAGCCTTGGGGAAGATAGGCAGGGCTCTCAGACTCCTGGCTCCTGGGACAATTCTGTCCCAGGGTGATGCCACTGTCTCCTGGATACCTAACTCTGGGTCATCCAGCCTTTCTCCTTGGAACTTTCTTTGATTTTCTTAGGTTTTCTGATTGGCCAGTGTAGGTGTGCTTTCAGAACTCTTCAGCATAAGAGAAATCTGCCATCTGCATGTCTCAGTCCAGTTTAGGAAAGAAGACTGTAGGATAACCACATCCAGTGACCAGGGCTGGGAATTTTGTTTTGACATATCTTAAAAATAAGGCATCCTCATTGTCAAATAAAAGCCTCTTCTCTAATTGCTGAGTCACAGTACTCCTCTTCCCCTTGTGATTGACAAGACACATTTTTATTTCTTCCCAGCCTTGCTTCCATGTTCCACTCCCATGTCAGCCCCTGTCAGGCAACGTCTGGGTACCGGGAATAATCCAGTGAGATTAGGTTTCACTAGCTTCACAGGTAACCGTGTGGCCCTGAGCTAGATAATTCTATGAGCAGTGAGTTTGGCTTACAGGACCCCTGTCATCATGCAAGTGACCATCTCTCCTGAAAAACCTTCAGCCAGCAGGGGACCCTGAACATTATGTGTAGAAATATATTTATTTTCTTTATAATTAAAGAAGACTCCTATATTCCTCAGAGTTGAGGATAAGCCTACTCCATCCCTGTTGGGTTCTCGTTACATTCTCGTTTGCTGGATCTTCACTCACCTTCACCCCTTCCGCTTTGACACAGTAAACACTAACAGGTTTCTTCTCTCATCTGACCGTATCTCCTTGGGACATGTCCAGCCAGATGGGGCCAGTAGGTGGTGCTCAAAGGCAACTTAAGGCCTTTGTATGTTTCTGTCCCTTGGGCTAGTTGGGGAAGAAGAGGAAGTGTCAGAGCCAGAGCAGAAATATTTAAATGGATTGGCTTCATATTCCAGCAAGGCTTGGCAGTCAGCTGGTAACTTCACATAGCCCAGTAGGAGACCCACATCTTAACTGATAATATAGAGTATCGTATGGCAAATACTTTTACCTTTAAGAAAAAAGTTTTTTCTTAAAGGTTCCACCCATGCTTTTGTAAGTGCTTGGATCGAGTTTTCCTAAGATCATAAATAAAGTTTAGTTGTCTGGCAGAATATTCGAGCTTTATAAGGAAAGTGTAGATGTGGGAAGGACTTTTAAGGTTGCCTTGGAAACTAGATATTAAGGCATTAAGGAAGGAGCCTGCTTGACCAGGTATGGTAGCTCACACCTGTAATCTCAGGACTTGAGGAGGCTGAGGGAAGAGGATCTTTTAAGCACAGGAGTTGGAGACAGCCTGAGCAACATAGTGAGATCCAATGTCTACCAAAAAAGGTAAAAATTAGCCAGGTATAGTAGTACATACCTCTAATACTAGCTACATAGGAAGCTGAGCCAGGAGGATCTCTTGAGCCTAGGAATGTAAGGTTGCAGTAAGCTATGATCACATTCTAGCTAGGGAGACAGAATGAGACCTTAAAATAAAAAGAAAGAAAATAATCAAGGAGGAGCCTGCTTACAAATTTTGAGTTCATTTTATTACTTGACAGAGATAGCTTGGCAAATATATAATGAGGCTGTTGTTTTATTTGATATACATACGTAGATTAACTTATTAGTACTTTTTCCTCTAGTCAGGTTCAGAGGACATAAAGGCAAACTGCTTAGCTCATCATGAGCAGAGCCAAGGTAAGGAAGAAAAATAAAACTAAGGCAGGTTCTTTGGAGTTTGTTCCCCATCATGCATATTTTCCTGGTTTTATCTTCCCAGGAAAAAGACTCTACGACTGGTATTGACCGCTCCTTTTTAAGTGCACTTCCAGGCCAGGCCCTCACAGACAAACTTTACAACATTTGGATTCGCCTTCAGAGCCACGTCAATATTGTGTTTGATAGTGAGATGGACAAATTAACAGTAGAAAAGTACCCGGGCATTAGACAGGTAAGCAATAACCTGCTAGCTACTAGCTGAAGTAAGTAATAAACATGTTTGTATTGAAACAAAATAATAAACATACTTGGAATTTTTTATGTTTTCCATGGACTTTTTTCTCCATGAAGATCCTAGAGAAGAAGGAAGGCCTGTTCCGAAAGCACATGATGGGAAAGAGAGTGGACTACGCAGCCCGCTCAGTCATCTGCCCGGATATGTACATCAACACCAATGAAATTGGAATCCCCATGGTGTGTGTAGGGAGCAGATGAGATTGCCAGAGAGGGTTGGGAGCAGGATGTGTAGCAGATTGTGGTGGGGCTAGTGTTTGCTTCTTCCTGGAGATCCTAAGTGGAGGGGACTTGAGACTTTGGGATGACATCATTCTCCTTACCAAGCCTCCAGACACCTGCCCACTAGGGAGACCTGTGCCTGGCACCAGGGAGCTGTCCACAGGGTGTTTCACATCCCTGCTCAATATATCTTCCTCCTGCCCACTTTGGCCTAGTCTTTAAGCCCTTCTTGTCACATTGAATATGTGAGAGAGGAAAAGGAGTGGTTGGGGGAATTGTAGTTCTGTGTACGTCTAGGCATCAGGCATGTGTATCCTTGGTTCCCAGGGAGAGGAAGCAGGGAGAGCCCCCAGAGAGAAGGTGCGTGTGTGTCCACCCCTCCAGTTCCTGCTGGGCATAAGCCACTTGCCCCATCCACTCATTAGTGTTCCTCCGGGAGCCAGTTTCATTTTCCTACTTCCCCACTGGCTCACGCAGTGTCTCTCATTAGCGGCAGCCCTTTAATCGACTTCCTCCTTAATGGGCCTTGAGGTCAGTAATGTGAAGATGGTTTAATTCCCTCTGTGGAGAGTCTCATTTCCTTATATACCAGCTACTGTGCCACTCTCATAGTGCTGGTGATAGTGGAGCTAAAGTGTTCTCATTGTCTGGCATGCCTGCTGCTCCTTGTAGACACACTTGGGCTTCCTGAGCAAGGGTCTGGGCATAGTGTGTTAGGATAAGAGTCAGAGAAGGCTCAGTCCTGTGCCTTGTAGAAAATGTAACCTTTGCATCCATTGAGAAGGAACAGCTTTGCAAAGCCCAGCAGTGACATTCTGGAGCCTGAGACCTTAAAGGCTCAGCCTCCTAACCCCTGGTGACAGTGCTCAATGGGGGGGTAAGTATGTTTATTATTTTGTTTCAATACAAAAGGCTCAGTGCTAGTTTGTTGCTCTCTCTAGCCAGAGGACAAGGTCTACCCCTATTGGCTTTGACCTCCATATGCCTAGAGTGTCCCCAGACTTAGGAGAGACTTTTTGTGCTGGCTCTGCCACCTTTGTGGGGTGTGTATACATCATCCACCCCTCCAGTTCCTGCTGAGCATAAGCTGCTTGCCCATTCACCCATTAGTGTTCCTCTGGGAGCCAGCTTCATTTTCCCACTTCTGCCCCGGCTCACGCAGTGGTGCTCATTAGCAACAACCCTTTAATCAACTTCTCTTTTTTGGGTCTTGGTTCATTTTATCCCCTAGGGAGAGACTATGAAGTCACCTTTCTGCTAGCCTCAGGTCTCAGGGCTGTGGCAGCCAGCCTGGGGGATGGTGTTACTGACAGGATGGCTGGGGAGAGCAGAGCGAGTAGAACTGCCTCTGGCCCCTTGAAGCACACTCTTCCCATTGAGCACTGTCACCAGGGGTTAGGGGGGTAAGAAAGTGAGATCAGTTTGGGCAGCATGAAGCACGCAGACTTGTTCCCTCATAAAGCAGTGTTCCAGGGCGGAGACAAACAGTAAACAAATAAACAAGTGCATAAACAATGGCAGACAGTGGTAAGTGCATCAGCAACAGTAGAGCTGGGAGGCCTCTATGCACAGAGACCTGGACAGAGCTGGACATGTTCCTTCACGGAGGACTTGTCAGAGTCCTTGGTATATTTGTGTGCATTTTGAAGTGTCAGGGATTTTTAATATTCAGTAGCTCTAACTCAATCAGGGAACTCATTTTTCTTGAAGTGGACCACAGGCCTGGTGTTAAATAGAGCACACTGTTTTCTGACATATTAGAGGAGCACGTGACTTTCATTTCAAGCATCCCCTTGATTGTAGTGGCTGCTGAATTAAGAGATTCTGATGTGTCTGGGCTCAGGAAAAGTGCCGTGATCATCTAGTGATGCCTAGGGTGGAGGGACGAAGTGGTATTCAAGGACAAATAATTTGTTACCTATCGTAAGTGAGTGTCCCATGCTGTGTTGCCTTTTTGGTGACTTTGAATTTATTGGCAAAGAAATGAAGTTTTAGAGTGGGTTAAAAAGAATTCTAATATGTAAACTGCAACACTGAAATTACTCTTCCCAGACTGACTGCTAGAAAAGGCAGCCCAGTCTGTTCCCTTAAGGGAACAACCCTGTGGGGAAGGCAGGCAGGATATTGGTTTACTCACTGAAAGGCTCCTCAATGTGCTGAGGGAAAATCACACAGCCTCCTGAGTCATAAGTGGGGACCATAAAACCTTTTTTTCTATTCACCCTGAATTTCTGCATCCATTCTTTATCTTTAGGTATTTGCCACAAAACTGACCTACCCTCAGCCTGTTACCCCCTGGAATGTTCAGGAACTTAGGCAGGCAGTCATCAATGGCCCCGGTGTGCACCCGGGAGCCTCCATGGTCATCAACGAGGATGGCAGTCGCACAGCCCTCAGCACCGTGGACATAAGCCAGCGGGAAGCCGTGGCCAAACAGCTCCTGACACCAGCCACCGGGGCACCTAAGCCCCAGGGGACAAAAATTGTGAGTACTGGGCAGGTTTGGCCAGGAAACCAGCCAACTCCCTCTGACTTCCCTATGACTGCTGGCTGTCAGCTGTGGTTCCAGTTTTGTTCTCTTTCAGTACATGAAGTCAGGCTTATCTTCAGGTTCACAAGATTGTTCTGCTTTTAAGTGCCTAGTATTTTGCTAGGAGCTATATGAGGAATGCAAAAAAAGCAAAGTTTATTTTGCTTAACTTTTGGTGAAGCCAGGGAAATAAGAAATGATCTTCTTGCCACATGTGTGTGTCCCCAAGAGGAAGCCCCCCCACATGTGGGTGTCCTCTGGGTGCTCTCTGGAGCTCACCTTGTCTCTCAGTTAGAGCCTGTGCTCCTAGGGCATGAGCAGCGTGATTAAAGCTGCCTTTCGCCACCCCACACCATGCAGCACAGTGCTGGGCACACATTGGTTGCTTGAGAAATGCTCTTTAATGACTCCTTTGTGATCCTGGGACAGGAGAATTTGCTGTCATTGAACAGGGCTATTCAATGCCAGTCATCAGGTCAACAGCAGCAGCATCTGTGAAATTTGAGAGAGATGCAGTCCCCTCCCCGCCCCCATCATCCCTATTGAATTAGAATCTCTGGGAATGGGAACCCGATAGTCTTTCTTTAACAAACTGTCCAGAGGGTCCTTCTGCATGCTAAAGTTTGAGAATCACTCTTAGAAAGGAAATGCTCTGTGCCAGTCAGAACCGACAACTGACAAGTTGGCCATTGCTAATGCCTGCCTGTAGTGCTGTGTTAAGGGATCTTTGAGGCTCTTTCTAGATTCTACTGTAAAGAACACATGATTGACTAGTAACATTGTTGGGAGCATAAGATCAATGGGTGACAGCATTTGTGTCTATTTCAAGTCACAGCTCTTAGCTCTACAAAGTTCCTATCAACCTTGAAAAAATTCTGGAGGAACAGAGAAAGAAAGGAAGTACACTCCTGGCCTTGTTGCCATGGCTGTTGGTACCCATTGTTCTTCACCACAGCGGGGGCCCTCTCTGGTTCTACAGCTCTCCTGGGGTAGAGCAGTAACAATGCCAATTTCCTGCTTTGGTAACAGAAGCACATGTGGACACAAATTAAGTCAACTGTTTTGCTCTCTTTCAGTACATGAAGTCAGACTTGCCTTCAGGTTCATAAGATTGTTCTGCCTTTCTTAAGAGCCTGATATTTTGCTAAGAGCAGTGTGAGGAATGCAAAAGAAAGCAAGGTGTACTTTGCTTAACTTTTGATGAAGCCAGGGAAATATGAAATGATCTTCCTGTCTGTCAACTCAGTCAGATGTGTGAAACAGTCTCCTCTCAGTAGGATATGATCAGAGGGAAATGGAGAGAACCATTAAGATGTCAGAAAGTGCTGAGGCCCCACTGCATGCTAGCCCTGTGCCAGTTCCAGCCTGGTGGGGGTGGCCGCCAGGAAATGAAGGTATAAAGATATCACTTGCTGGGGAACAGTGTGCCACACACCATAAGGAGCAACAGTGGCAACAGCGGCTCTGCATGGGATGCTGAGAAGGAAATGGGTTTGAGAAGAGTTGCAAGGCAGGTAGGCAGGGAGAGTTCCGAGTCATCAAGAGGTGGCTGAGAGTGGGGTGTCAGGCCAGGCTAAGGGCTACAGGGGAAACTGAGGACGGAGAATTCCTGCTATTCCCTCAGGTCTCAGTGAAGCCCTTGTCCCTCCAGGGTTAGATAGTAAATATTTCCAGCTTTGTGGTCCATACAGGATCCTTTGTAGCCACTCAGCTCTGCCCCCCGTAGCACTAAAAGAGCCATAGGCAGTGTGCGGTGAATGGGTGTAGCTGTACTCCAATTAAACTTTATTTGTAAAGCCAGTTGGTCAGCCTGAGGACTGTAGTTTGCCGCTCCCAAAACCTGTGTTAGGTGCTCCCAACACATCCAGTGTCCGTGCTCATCTCTCTACCCCTTGTAGCTTTTATTACATGTGTTGTGCCTGCACCTGTCTCTCCACCCTTGATTTCCTCAATCCTGTGAGTTCAAGGGCTCTGATCTCATATTCTCCCAGCGCTTAGCATGTAGGAGGCACTCAAGAAACCCTGTAGGGTATATGGATCCAGGTTGAAGAGTGGGAAGCTCTGAGGTGTGAATACTGCATTGGACCCAAGGATATGGCCCAGGGCAAAGATAGGAAGCAACTTTAGGAAAGAAAAGTGGCTTCTACATCAAGACTGGGGACTGGCTTGGTGCCAGTGGCTCAAGTGGCTAAGGCGCCAGCCACATACACCTAAGGTGGCAGGTTCGAATCCAGCCCGGACCCGCCAAACAACAATGATGGCTGTAACCAAAAAATAGCCGGGCGTTGTGGCGGGCACCTATGGTCCCAGCTACTTGGGAGACTGAGGCAGGAGAGTTGCTTGAACCCAGGAGATGGAGGTTGCTGTGAGCTGTGAAGCCACGGCACTCTACCCAGGGGGACAGCTTGAGGCTCTGTCTCAAAAAAAAAAAAGACTGGGGACTGAGAATGATCAACTTTATTTCCCCAAATTTCAGTAGTGTTGTATGTGAGTGATAGATAGATAAAATAAAATGCACATGTGCTTATAATTTATTTTTAATTTTTAAAGACTTTGTTTAACGTGTTGCATATAGATCAGAACAAGGCTGAAGGCTGGGGGAGGCTATTGGAAAGGAGAGACTGAAGTCCTGGTAAGGATAAGCCACAGGTTAGGTGAAAAGGGAAAGGCCAGCTGAATGGACTTGTTTCCCCTTTGAAGTTTGAGATCTGCCTCTTCCCCTGGGCCTCGTAAATAAAGGAAGAAGTGGCCAGAATGGCCGAGTCTTACTTCCCTGCCCAGCAGTCTGCCAGAAACAGGCTTTTGGCTCTAGGACTGCCTCTGAAAACTCTGACCCGGGCACTGGGGCACACTAATTTTCACTGCAGTATTTATTTAGAGACAAGAGAAGGAAAGGCCTTGGGTTTGGCTTGGCAGGGGGAGCACCATGTGTTCCAGGACTTCTGTTTAGATTGGCCAGTGCCTGCCTGGCTGGCCTGGGTACCTACCCAGCTGTGGCGAGTTTGCTTACGCTGGAGGATGTCTCAAATTTACAAGACTCAGATCCTAGGTCCAAGCAGGCTTTTTGGGCCTGGGCCACTGGTCTGGGCAGTTTTTCCCTTGAGAGGCTAAAGAAAGAAGACCTCAGGCTCATGATGTAGTCAGGCAGCAAGTAACCAATGCCCTGGGCACATGCTCATGGGAACCCTCAACATTCAGTTCTCCTTGGAAACAGGGACTTGAAGGTGGAGAGGGGCACAGTTGAATTCCTTGGAGAGCAAAATGACGGATTACATGGTAGGAATCCATGGAATTCAGGGCTGCCTTTTAGCATTTGAGGGTTCTAGCCCCTGCAACCCTGAGCTGAAGAGAACTGTTAGTCCAGCTGAACAGGAATAGGGCAGATGGTGGTAGAGGGTGTCTCTTATACCCTCTCTAATTAACCAAATTTCTGATATAGCTTCATAAATGTGGATATCATGAGAAGAAATTATACTTGGAATAATCTGTTGTTTTCCTCCAGTTGTTATCTATATTTGGAGTGGGGGAGGTCTCCAAAGTTCCTTTGGGCTTCTAAGGGAGGCCTTCAAAATCCTTGGAAGAAGGTTAACTTTCACACATTTGTCCTCAAGGTGTCATTTATGTTCAATATTTAGGAAGCCTAGTAGTTAATGTAACAAAGCCTAAGGGCACTAAGAGGCTAAAAGAACCTTACAGGAAAGTCAGCTTTGTATCTGTCAGAGGACATGTGTTTGTTAAGGGGAAAATGTGAGCAGTAGTTTTCTTTGAGGAGTAAAATTACTTGTGATTTTTTTATTCTCTTTAAATTTGTCTATATTTTCTTTTTTCTTCCCCCTTAATGAGTATATCACTTGTGCAGTTTTCCTTTGTTTCTTTTAAAATAATAAAAGAGCTTTTAAAGTTTTACAGAAATAGTAACGTGTTCATTGTAAGATGAACAATACTAAGATATGTAACGTTGTTAATTTGTACCTTGCTGTGAAGAGACTGTAGTAACAGCTTGCACACATGCACATCAGTTTGGTTGGGTTTTAAGTTGCCTCATTCCCATCACCTCACATGCCACCTGGATTTTTTTGTTGTTGTTGTTATAAAACATTCTTGCCATCTCCTGTACATATTTAACTTACAGTTTTGATCATGGCATAATATTTCATAGGGTGGATACACTGTGGTTTATTGCCCCTCTGTGGAGGAGTCCTGTTATTTCTAGGTTTGCTGCCATAAATACTGCTGCATAACACACGTGTTCATGTAACTTTGCATTGGTGCCTTTTTTCTTCTGAAAAGCCAAAAGGAAATGTGTTTTAAATGTTCTAATATTCTTTTTGTTGTTGTTTTAATTTTGTTAGAGATAGGGTCTTGCTATATTGCCCAAGCTGGTCTCAAACTCCTGGGCTCAAGGAATCCTCCCATCTCAGCCTCCCAAGTAGCTGGAATGATAGGCATGAGCCACTGTACCTAACTCTTTTATTTATTTTTCTTACATATACATATGTTTTTAGGTTTCCACTTTTGCCTTCACAGAATTAAAAAGGCTTAAAATTTAATAACTATAACAATGTTTAACATAAGGACTGAAAACAAAAACCGCATAAAGAACAAATGAAGATAAATACATTCAGAAAAGAAATCAGATGATTACCCCATTGAAATATTAAGCAACAGGCTCGGTACCTGTGGCTCAAGTAGCTAAGATGCCAGCCACATACACCTAAGGTGGCGGGTTCGAATCTGGCCCGGGCCTGCAAAAACAGCAATAATGGCTGCAACCAAAAAATAGCTGGGCGTTATGGCAGACACCTGTGGTCCCAGCTACTTGGGAGGCTGAGGCAGGAGACTCGCTTGAGCCCAGGAGTTGGAGGTTGCAGTGAGCTGTGATGCCACAGCATTCT